ATTTCTTGTGTGTTCAGGTAACTTGAAGGTCAGTTTGGAGGTTCTAAGATTATAGTCAGATAGAAATGTGGGTTGCACCTCACTTGCAGCTAGAGTCCTACTGACTGTTGCCTGCTCTTAGGGGGAATTGATCAAGTCTTTCTTTTGGCCATCTTTAGGGGTGGTTTGCTCTGGACTTTGGAGGAATGAATCTTTTGTGCCCTCTTTAGGGAAATCTCCTATACCCATGGTTAAGTCATAAAAGTCTTTGGTTTTCATTGAGTCACGTGATAGGTATACCTTTGGCTTAAAAGAAAAAAAAAGAAAAGATTTCAAAGGTGTTTAGTACTACCAGTAATATTTACTGTTTGTCCTGACTGAAACTTGATAATAAGATATGTGAAAGGATTTCTTTTTTAAAGGAGCTCTATGGTCAAAAGTTGGCCAAATTTGTGGGTGATGTTAAGAGCTAATAGTAACTTTTTATAGACTTTTCTCCTAAGCTGAAATGGGACTACATAGTCAGAGAAAAAGAAACATGCTGAAGCCTTTGTGGAGTGATTTGTTAAAACATTCTATGCACAGACCTCTAAATCTAGAACATAGGAATTCTTGATTTGCATCTCAGTTGGAAATTTCTCTGATGTAAAAAGCAATTGAAGATAATGTAGTTGGATGGGCAGGTAAGTCCCTTGCTAACATCCAAGTTGTAACCCAGTTCTTTGAGAGATTAAAAACAAACAAACTAACAAACAAAACTGTCCCTTTATTATAAATTGAGTCTTTCCAAGAACAGAAATGTGTCTCTTAAAGCAATTCAAAACCCACATATTTTTTTTAACCATCTCCAGATCTCTGGTATTCATCTCAAAATGCTTGCAGATAATTGTAAACAATTGGAACATTAGAGATAGAACTGTCCTGCATTTAAGATAAAGAATGACAATTCAAACAATAATTATCCTAGGCCTTTGATAATAGGCAAATATGCTCCAAAGGTCATTCTTGGAGAAAATTTACATCTTTTCTCAGTGCCTTTGAGATATAAACTTTCAACTCCGTCTTTTCTAGGACCTGAGAGCCACCCTTTTAAAACGCAAACTTCAAGGAGGTGATTCTTGTCAGAAGTTAAAGAAATAAAGAGCTATTTGGAATCTAGACAAATGAAAAGCCTTAAAAGTATTCTCTACAAATAGTAGTAAAAGCTTAGGCATCTAGAGCAGATAAGTTTAATTTTTTCCACAACTTGGATCCAACTGTTCTTTTATAAATTAGTGTTTTAAATTATTGTAACTATATCATTGTTAAAATTTTTTAAATGACAACTATCTCTCTAATTATCTGTATGTCTACATGTCTGTTAGAGATGTATGATTCTACTCTACCTCTAAATGGTAAAAGATTTGTAAAAGATCTCTAATTAATTGGCTTAAAGGAAAATAAGTGCTCATATAACTAAATATCCCTAAACTCTCAGAACTAAAATAGAGACTAACACAAATGTTTTTCAAGTTAACATGATCTGAGGTAATCTTCAGTAAAAAAAAAAAAAAAAAAAAAAAAAAAAACAAAAAACTAGTTTAAGTTCATTGAATTAATTAAGAGACATGTCTTCAGAGTTATCAACATTACATATAATACCAATATGACTTTTATTTTGCCTAGATGTACTAGTAATGAATCCATGTTATCTCTTACAATATTTGTGATCAAGAAAAATAACAAGATTATGCCTAGCTATTTAATGCCTTGTTAAAATTTCATGAGTGATCTAAACATAATTGTTAAGAGCAAGTGAATTAAAGAAATGTACATAAGATAAAAGTTTATAAAAGAACTTTCAAATGTAATTATGTTTTATAATGTCTCCTTAAAAATAGTTTCCCAAATATTTTTAGTAACTTTCAACCTTAGAACTTTGCTGGGTTAATTTATGGATATTCTTGGAATATCTAAAGCACTTCAAATATATTAATACACTGACACATTAATTGCTAAACATAAGTCTAGGTTTACCTACTTCTGTCCCCTTAGTAAAAATATTTTGGAACTTCCCTGGTGGTTCAGTGGCTAAGACTCTGAGCTCCCAATGCAGGGGCCTGGGTTCGCGTCCTGATCAGGGAACTAAATACTACATTCTGCAACTAAGACCCAGAGCAGTCAAATAAATAAATAATTAAAAAAATGTTTTGTGCCCGAAAGATTATACTGTGAGGAAGCACATGCTTTTTGAAATTATCAAATGTGTTAATAAATTTGCCAATCGACAGAAGGTTGGTATGAAACAGTTCACAATTGCTTACTTCCTAGTTTTCACTATTGTTTATAACTTGTAAGCACCAAGAATTCTAATTAATACATATAATTAAAACTACTAAAATACTATGGAAGATTATTTTATTTCTGTATGTAAGAAAAGTAGTATATTTTGAGATAAAAAGGGTGTGAGGTATGGAGATTCACTTTTGCTAAAGGAAAAGGTAATTTTGTCCTAAATTTTTAATAGAACAACTGAGTGTTTCAGAATGAGAAAGTGAAGAATACTGGACACACTAAATAGATATAGATGACCTAGCTATATTGCTTGTCATTACTGTTCCATTACTGCTCTATTATTTACATTAAATCCACAGAGCATCTACTTTAAAGTGGGGGATGGGGGAGGAAGTAAAGGAGAGAAAGTAAAGGAGCAAGAGTTGGCTCAAACTCATGTCCATCGAGTCAGTGATGCCATCCAACCATCTCATCCTCTTTCGTCCCCTTCTCCTCTTGCCTTCAATCTTTTCTAGCACCAGGGTCTTTTCCAAAGAGTCAGAACTTTGCATCAGGTGGCCAAAGTATTGGAGCTTAAGCTTCAGCATCAGCCCTTCCAATGAATATTCGGGGCTGATTGTCTTTAGGATTAACTCTTTCATTTCCTTGAAGTCCAAGGGACTCTCAGGAGTCTTCTCCAACACCACAGTTCAAAAGCATCAATTCTTCTAAAGTTTAAATAATAAGCTTTAACATCAATATTGTATCTATGTTAAAAGTTAATTTTCTTTCATCTGCTAAGAGGACAAGATTTTTGTGGACCATTGGTTGACTCTAGGTAAGAGATTGGGAAAGATTTTTCTGTACCTTTCAAATAATTTGCCTAGAAAAGTGATGGTTTCTGTCTTTCCAAAATAATTTCCTATGGTTCATGTTGTCATTATCATGTCTTAAAATAAGAAAACTGTCTTTTCAATATTAAAAGAGCTAAGTTTTGCTCACAACTATGTAACTTTTTGTATTTGATTTTAAAATCTTTTATTTTCACTTTGGTTAAATAGATAAAATTAAGTATTGTTCAATAATGATCTGTGATACTATTTAGTCAAATGTCCCATTCTCTTTATCTATAATCCCATGTTAATTGTGGGGACCTTAAGAAGAGAAAAATTCAGGATAGCAAAAATAATTAGAAATCCTTAAAGTCTACTAATTCATGGACAAGTCCTCTTAAGAGTTGACAGTGTATCCTGTTTTTGTGCCTGTGGGGATAGTAATGCGAATAAAAATATACATGAAAACTAAACATGGCTACATTTTAAAGTATTCCCCATATCAATTCATTTAATGGTCCAGGCACCCCTATGAGGTAGACACTGTTGCTTGTCTCCATTTTGTAGATGAAAAGCTGAGGAAGAGAGAACTTGGCCTAGGGCTGCACATTTAGAGAACAGGACAGTCAGGGTTTGTACCTCATGCTCCAGAACCTGGGAAACAGTCAAAGATTTGTTTCAGTAACAGAAGCAGTCTGCATAAGCATGTGTACTTTGGTGGTGGTGGTGGTGGTGGTGGTTTAGTCGCTAAGTCGTGTCCGACTCTTTGTGACCCCATGGACTGTAGCCCGCCAGGCTCCTCTATCCATGGGCGTCTCCAGGCAAGAATACTGGAGTGGGTTGCCCTTTCCTCCTCCAGGGGATCATCCTGACCCAGGAATTGAACCCTGGTCTCCTACATTGCAAGCGGATTCTTTACTGACTGAGCCACCAGGGAAGCCCATGTATACTTTAGGGAATCATTAGAGCAATATTCATGTACTAACATATTTACCTAGTGACCTTGGTAAGAGCACGTCCACTGCAATCATGGGGACAGATTCAGTAGTACAGTGAGATAAGAGGTTAGTGGGAAGTGAAGAATGTTAACAAGGCATGCAGAAAATGCTTTCTGGAACTTTGATTTTGAAGGACAGGGGAGAAAGGGGGAGAGAGGGAGAGAGAAGGTCTGTGATTAAATGGGGAAAAGAGATCCAAAGGGGAATTTTTTTTTAACATCTTCAATTCCTTGAAAGTATAAAAGTTAACATGCAGGAGCCATGTCATCTCAGATTTAACCTCTGGCAGGATATTTTCACTATAGAGTTAACAGGATACTTCTAATGAAGAGTATGGGTTTGAGCTCAATATATATTTAGCTATGAGTGACTGGAAGAATGGATACTTGTCTATAAAAGCAATGGTAGTAATTTGTGGATTTTTGCCTCTAAGGGAGGCAGCATGTGGTTGAAATCCTGGTATGACATGATCTGAGGACCCCTGCCATGTTGAATGTGATACAGGTCTAGAATTTCTTACCAGTGTATTGACATAGGGAGCAGTCTAGGAGCAGAAGTTAGACAAACATCACAGCCCACTGTCCTGGTGCCATCTCTCACTGAGCTCACCAGGTGAGTCAAAGGTACTCCTGTCTTCCCAGCATGGGGACTGTATTAGGATCAGCACACAGGTATTATGTGGAGCAGCTCTTAGGAGATTCTGTAACACCAAAAATTCAAGAGGACCTACTACCTCAAACCCTTCAAGTCAGCACTTGTCAGAGAGTTGTTTGCTCCTTTCCCCTAGATACATGTAATCTCTGTAGGAGAATCAGTGAGAAATGACTTTTCGCAATGCCTTCCTTAGGACCAGGGCTCAGATAGATCCCACTGCTGTACCCTAACATTTAAAGGGCACTGAAGTCCCACCACGTGCCATACACTCTTGGCAGGTTTCCTCATTCACCCATCAAGACAGCTTTGTGACAAAAGCACCATGAGTCCCAGTCACAGATGCCCAAGATCATGGTGACAGAGCCTGGGTCACCTCTGCAAGTAAGTGTCAGAATGGGATGAGGTCCCATCCCTCACCCTCCCTGAGGACACAGAGCAGCCGCCCTTTCAGAAGATGGGCTTTCAGGGCTGCAGAAATGGTCACACACCCCTGCTGTTGTCCCACAGTACTCACTCACCTACCCCATTGGGAGAGGAAGAGGACAGAGGAGATGAAATCCTGCCCCTACTGCCAACTGACCTCGGTGTCTAGGCCACATGCATTGGCTCATCCCTGAAGAGAGGGGTGGGGCTTGGGCAGAAGCTCAGGTATTGCCCTTGAGACAGGTGATCTGGAGGGAGGGCAAGTGATATGTGCAGAAGTGTTTTAAGGAATTGTGCTTTATATTTCACACCCTTTAATCCTAGTGGCTATTCAAGTTACCCATTATTATGACCATTATTCAGAACAGAGTATTAACTTTGTGAGTGTGTTTGCTAATTTGCTTCAGTTGTGTCTGATTCTTTGCGACCCTATAAACTGTAGCCTGCCAGGCCCCTCATGGGACTCTACATGCAAGAATAGTAGAGTGGGTTGCCATTTCTCTCCTCCAGGGGAATCTTCCTAAGCCAGGGATGGAACCCATGTCTCCCTTGTCTCCTGCATTGCAGGTGGATGCTTTACCGCTGAACCACCAGATAAGCAAAAACAAGAATACTGGAGGGGGCTGCTATACCTTCCTCCAGGACTGACTTTAGAGGATTTCAGTTAATCAGGGACACAGCTTTGTTATCTTCCTGATCAGTAGCTAACTCTGGAATTTCAGGGTTTTTTTTCAATTTTGTCTTGAAGCCCATCAGTTCAGTTCAGTTAAGTTCAGTCACTCAGTTGTGTCTGACATTTTGCGACTCCATGAATCGCAGCACGCCAGGCCTCACTGTCCATCACCAATGCCCGGAGATTACTCAAACTCATGCCCATCGAGTCGGTGATGCCATCCAACCATCTCATCCTCTGTCGGCCCCTTCTCCTCTTGTCCCCAATCCCTCCCAGCATCAGAATCTTTTCCACTGAGTCAACTCTTCATATGAGCTGGCCAAAGTATTGGAGTTTCAGCTTCAACATCAGTCCTTCCAATGAACACCCAGGACTGATCTCCTTTAGGATGGACTGGTTGAATCTCCTTGCNACACTTCTGTGTCCTATCTCTTCGCTGGCGTAACTTGTCAGTTAGTTTAGGAAGAAGGAAACAATCACTGGACCAGCTCCATATGGTTTGAGAAAGAAACCACCAAGACCATCACCCCACATCACTTTATTGCGTATACTTTCCCATTCCACTTTTTATCTTCTGTGTTAATTTCTCCAGAGTAATATATGCAATGTTATCCAGAAAGAGGAGGTTTGCAAAGGAACACTGCAATAGGATACTGGCGCCAGGTACATCATCCACCTTTGGGTAAGTCTTTTCCCCTGTGCTGGTTGTTTTTCAGATAAAATCTGTGAGATAGATATAGAGGTAAATGAGATCCCATTTAGGAAAGAGCCTTTCTTTTTGAGACCTTAGTTGAGAAGGAACAAGCGGTGATTTCCAAATGATTACTTTCCAGTCTTCAGCTCTTATCACACTCTGTATCAGATGAAGTCAGTAGTCCTCATACTGTTTCTTAATTGAATGACCACTTATGCATGGTCATAGGATGATTGGAACTTAAAACTTGCAAAAAGCAGGATTCTTGACCTTAGGAAACCATGAAGAACTCAGCTTTCCTGAATGTCTGCGACTTTTATCCTCATGTATTTTGCACAACATTCCGGGGAGGTAGAGCATGATTTCTACACCATTTTGTAGCTGGTGAAGTGATGATCTACAGAGATTAAGTAACCTGGCTGGGGGTCATCCTGCTACTAAGAAAAGCAGAGACTAGTACCTTACATATCCACACACAGATGCATGAGGCTCAGCCACACATCAGGCCAAGATCAAGTAAATTTTGCTTTCCTGATGACCTGTGTCACTTCATCTGTATCTTCATTTCTGATTCCAGGATGCCTGGTCTGCCTATATTTTTGCAAGACAATAAACCTGATTTGACCTCAATTTCCTATTCTGTAAAACCTGGGGAGTGTGAAAAGAACACAAGCAAAATTTTGGAGTTGATGGATACATCAGCTTTGGTTTGGTGATTATTATGGGTTTATGCATAGGTCCAAATTCAAGAATATGTATATGTTAAACATGTGTAATTTTTTTGCATATCAATTATACCTCGGTAAAGCTAAAGCAAAGAATCAAGGGACTATGTTTAAACTATTAAAGGTACTTTTGAAAGCAGAGTCCCCAGACCACCTATATGTCATAAGGAATATGCACCCTCTAATAGAGGGACAGTTCTCCTGTTGAGGATTAATACTTGAAGGAGCAGTCCCTGAATACATACAGACAGGAAGTGCACAGACTCTTTAATGGACACTGACAAATCAACCTGGAAAGACATACTGATTGAGGGCCCTACCAGAAGTACCAGAACGTGTAGGCTTCCCCTCATGCTCACCCACTGGAAATACTCCATAGTTTGTTGTTATCCTTTTTGATGTGATGAATGGAAAGTCTATTTCAATCATTTTTAACTGCATATCAAGGTTATTTAAAATAAAAGCTTTCTTCCTATACAAGACTCTATCAGTCATAACTGTCATTTTTTTCACTGCAAATGGGTCTAGTTACATAGGAAGCCTAACAATGAGTGACAGTCACATAAACCTACAGTTTCTCCTAATGCTACTGCCTGCTTGTAAGCTCCAGGTGTGTGTGTGTGTGTGTGTGTGTGTGTGTGTGTGTGTGTGGACTCCGGGGGCTCCCAATGACAGTGTGTATCCCTGGAAAGAGTGAGAATATCTCTCTGTGATGTATGTTGAGTTCAGGATTAGAGAGGAGCTGGATTTGCTCATTCTCAAGGCTTTCTAAATGGCACACAGCTAGACCACAACGTGCTTCTGAGCAGACAGTAGTCTCTTTCCCCAGATGGAAGGCAAGCCTATCTGCACTCACCTGCTCAGGTCAGGGATGGATCCCTCCAGGACGTAAGGTGTGGCTGTCTGACTAAATCTGCTGCTGAGCTCTGAAATTGAGGGCTCCCATCTTGCAGCCTCAGTTGCAGAGTCCTGCGGAGCTATATCCTCTCAACCACCCATCACACAGGTTCAGTCATCTCCCTGAGGAGTTCCACACTCATGGATAAAAATCCTTACATTCTTATCACATCTTTGATTCACTGTGCGTCCATCTATTCTTCCATTCATATATTTGACAGGCATTAGGAAGAAACTCTACATCACTCTTTGGGTAAGTCTTAGGCTTCTCCAGAATGGAAACAAGGAAGTAAGGCGTGAGAAGCCTGGTGTGGTACCTTGTGATGTTACATCTAAGAAGAGATGGATCCTTCCCATTGAGATCTCAGCCTGCTCAAGTGTTGTATAAATGGTGATTTTTACAACTTCATTTACTGCTGTGAGCCTCTGTCCACGTCTCTGGTTAGTGTCCTCTTGATGTATATTCTTCCCTTCGCACCAAAATTTTACAAAGAATTCTTGATACTCTACTCACATCTCCTTGCACCTGCCCTCGGACTCAATCTTCATCCCTTATCTAATGGGCTATGTTCTCCCACACTTTTAAATTTACCATGACAGTGTCAATAGTCACCTCTTTGTCACATTTATAGATCATGAGTCAAATGTAGACAAACAGATATTTCTCCAGGAGGTATGTCTGTCCCCAGGACAGAATTCATTTGCTTGTATATTGCGAAGTAAAATGGACTGGAATGAGTGAATTTAACTCAGATGACCATTATATCTACTACTGTGGGCAGGAATCCCTTAGAAGAAATGGAGTAGCCATCATGGTCCTGCCCCATAGAGAAGTATAAATGGTTTTGTTAGCCTTTACTCACATAGTTATGGACATTTGGACAGCTTCCTATATTTCCATTTTCCCCCCTATTTCATGCAATCCTGCAGCAAATATCCTCTTACCAGCTTACTTTTGTACATGTGTAAAAATTTCCCTGCAATCTTCCCTGGGACTTGATTTCAATAAATTCTGTCATAAGTTGTCAGAGCATGCTCATTTCTTACCCACCTCTAAACTTTTGTTCATAATATTTACATTTATTTCTGACTGTGTTCTGTTTTCTTGACTTATGCTGAAGTTTAGCCTCCCCAACCTGTCCCCCCCACACACGAGCCAGTTTTCAAATGTTTGTGAATTTTTTGTTGGTTTTTGTTTTTTGTATATTTTGTATTTGTCAGATGATAGATAATGAAAGGATATTTAGGTGCTTTCACTAGCATTCCTTAAATTATTAGTGAGTTAGAACATATTTTTGTGATTATTGGCCATTTTAATTTCTTCATCTGTGAACTGTTTACACATTTTGTCCATTTTGGTATTTTGTCATAGGAGCTCTCCATGCATTCACTAATCCATGGACTTGTGATTTCAGTGCATTTTTATTGGGTGAATATTATTTGCCAGACACTTCAGTGAAAATCCATGTCCTAGAAGATCTCTCTTCTGAGATCTAGATGCTTATAGTCATTGAAAGTGTCCACTTTCAATGTGTTCAAAGAAAAGTATTAGTGGCCATCCATACATGCATGATTTGTCAAGGAAAAAATACTCAGTTCAAAACACTTATCCCTAAGCCCTGACTCGCCACAAAGTAAAAAGGATGCAGTGTTTTACATGAGGAGGGCACTACCTCAGGATTAGCATTTCTGTGATCTCTACAGTTATGGTAGGATATTTTACATAATTCTTAGAAATTATATAATATTCTTAGAAATTATATAATTCTTAGAAATTATATAACATTTCTGAGTCTGCATTTTCTAATTTATAAAATGGAAACAGTTGTTCTGAGGAGCAAAAGAAGAAGATATATCAGGTGTCATACGCAGCATATTGTACATAGGACACCAAATAGATGTTAATTTCCCTCTTATCCCATACCCATCTTTCCTTTATAGGAGTGTCCCTTGACATAATCCAAATAGCATTACTCCATAATGACAATTGGAAAGATTAAGCAGAAGAGAAATGTATAAGTTTCCATTATGTATTAACTTCTGTGTCCTATCTCTTCGTTGGCGTAACTTGTCAATTAATTTAGGAAGAAGGAAACAATCACTGGACGAGCTCCATATGGTTTGAGAAAGAAACCACCAAAACCATCACCCCATGTCACTTTATTGTGTATACTTTCCCATTCCACTTTTTATCTTCTGTGTTAATTTCTCCAGAATAATATATGCAACATTATCCAGAAAGAGGTTTGCAAAGGAACACTGCAGTAGGATACTGGCGCCAGGTACATCATCCACCTTTGGGTAAGTCATTTCCCCTGTGCTGGCTGTTTTCCAGATAAAATCTATGAGATAGATATAGAGGTAAATGAGATCCCATTTAGGAAAGAGCCTTTCCTTTTGAGACCTTAGTTGAGAAGGAAGAAGCAGTGATTTCCAAATAATTACTTTCCAATCTTCAGCTCTTATCACACTCTGTTATCAGATGAACTCAGTAAGTCCTCATACTGTTTTGTAATTGAATTACCATTTATGCATGGTCATAGGATGATTTGAACTTAAAATTTGCAAAAAGCAGTGGACCTCAGGAAACGACAAAGAACTCAGCTTTCCTGAATGTATACTATTTTTAATCTCATGTATTTTGCACAACATTCTGGGGAGGTAGAGAATATGATTTCTACACCATTTTGTAGCTGGTGAAGTGATGATATACAGAGATTAGGTAACCTAGCTGGGGGTCATCTTGCTACTAAGAAAAGCAGAGACTAGTACCTTACATGTCCACACACAGACCGCATGAGGCTCAGCCACACATCACGCCAAAATCAAGTAAATTTTGCTTTCCTGCTGACCTGTGCCACTTCTGTAATCTGTCTCTTCATTTCTGACTCCAGGATGCCAGGTCTGCCTATATTTTTCCAAGTCAGTAAACCTGATTAGACCGCAATTTCCTATTCTGTAAAACCTGGGGAGTGTGAAAAGAACACAGGCAAAATTTTGGAGGTGATGGATATATTTAGGACTTTGGTTTGGTGATTATTATGAGGTTATGCACAGGTCCAACTTCAAGAATACATATATATGTTAAGCATGTGTAATTTTTTGGCATATCAATTATACCTCAGTAAAGCTAAAGCAAAGAAACTAGGGACTATGTTTAAACTATTATAGGTATTTTTGAAAGCAGAGTCCCAGACCACCTATATGTCATAAGGAATATGCACTCTATAATAGAGGGACAATTCTCCTGTTGAGAATTAATACTTGAAGGAGCAGTCCCCAAATACATACAGACAGGAAGTGCACAGACTCTTTAATGGACACTGACAAATCAACCTGGAAAGACGTACTGATTGAGGGCCCCACCAGCTGTAACATAACATGTAGGCTTCCCCTCATGCTCACCCACTGGAAATACTCCATAGTTTGTTGTTATACATTCTGATGTGATGAATGGAAAATCTATTGCCATCATTTTTACCTGCATATCAAGGTTATTGAAAATAAAAGCTTTCCTCCTACACAAGACTCTGTCAGTCATAACTGTCATTTTTTTTTAACTGTAAATGGGTCTAGTTACACAGGAAGCCTAACAATGAGTGACAGTCACATAAGCCTACAGGTTCTCCTAATGCTACTGCCTGCTTGTAAGCTCCAGTTGTGTGTGTGTGTGTGTGTGTGTGTGTGTGTGTGTGTGTGTGGGCTCTGGGGGTTCCCAGTGAGTGTGTATCCCTGGAAAGAGGTTGAGAATATCTCTGTGATGTATGTTGAGTTCAGGATTAGAGAGGAGCTGGATCTGCTCATTCCCAAGTCTTTCTAAATGGCACACAGCTAGACCACAACGTGCTTCTGAGCAGACAGTAGTCCCTTTCTCCAGAAGGAAGGCAAGCCTGCTCAGGCCAGGGATGGACCACTCCAGGATGTAAGGTATGGCAGTCTGACTAAATCTGCTGCTGAGCTCTGAAATTGAGGGCTCCCACCTTGCAGCCTCCACTCCAGTATTCTTGCCTGGAGAATCCTGTGGAGAGAGGAGCCTGGTGGGCTGCCATCTATGGGGTCACACAGAGTCAGACACGACTAAAGCGACTTAGCAGCAGCAGCATCTTGCAGCCTCAGCTGCAGAGTCCTGCGGAGCTATATCCTCTCAACCACCCACCACACAGGTTCAGTCATCTCCCTGAGGAGTTCTACACTCATGGATAAAGATCCTTAAATTCTTATCACATCTATGACACACTGTGAATTCATCTATTCTTCTAGTCATATATTTGACAGACATTAGGAAGAAACTCTACAAAACTCTTTGGGTAAGTCTTAGGTGGCTCCAGAATGGAAACAAGACAGTAAGGCATGAGAAGCCTGATGTGGTACCTTGAGATGTTACATCTAAGAAGAGATGGATCCTTCTCATTAAGATCTCAACCTACTCAAGTGTTCTATAAATGGTGATTTTTACAACATCATTTACTGCTGTGAGCCTCTGTCCACATCTCTAGTTACTGTCCTCTTGATGTATATTCTTCCCTTCGCACCAAAATTTTACAAAGAATTCTTGATACTCAACTCACATCTCCTTGCACCTGCCCTGTGACTCAATCTTCATCCCTTATCTAATGGGCTGTGTTCTCCCACACTTTTAAATTTACCATGACAGTGTCAATAGTCACCTCTTTGTCACATTTATAGATCATGAGTCAAATGTAGACA